GTGTGTGTGTGTGTGTGTGTGTGTGCACGGATGTGTGTGTGTGTGTATGTGTGTGCACGCACGTGTGTGTGTATTCGTGTGCATATGTGTGTGTGTGTGTGTGTGTGCGCGTGTGTGCGTGTGTGCTCGCAAGTGTGTGTGTGGGGGCGTGTTTGTGTGTGTGTGTGTGTTTGTGCCGGGGGGAGGGGAGGGAGGACCCCTCCCTCACCAATCAGTCAATCAATCAATCAATCAATCAATCAATCAATCAATCAATCAATCAATCAATCAATCAATCAATCAATCAATCAATCAATCAATCAATCAATCTGCTGTGGGAGGTGGCGCTGTCATGGCGGTGGGGGAGGCGGGGGAAGTTCCGAAGGCAAGGGATGGGGGGGTGGTTGAGGAAGACGACGAGGCTATGGTGCACAGGCTGCGCGGGTCACGTGCGGCGTCACATGCAATGGATGCTGCCACCGAACTTTGGAAGGACGACACACGATTCTGGAACGAGACACAGGGGAGCGCCATAATGAAGATCATCCAAGAAGCGCGCGTGTATCTCGTGGCAGTGGCGCAGGGAGTGCAGCGTCCAGCTATTCGACAGAGCATCTCCCTTCCACACAACATCATCCCCCAACACAAAATCGAGGATGAATCGGAGTTTAATGTGGAGAAAGAGAGGGCGTTGAAGGTGCAGACAATCTCGCTTAGGGCGATCCACGGTTGGGTCTTCAAGTCCGAGAGTAGACAAAGGGGGTATCACTTTGCGTACCAGTACGTCTTGAATTACTCAGCCACTGACATCACTAGAGCGGTATGGTCAGCAGAGGACTGGCGCACTTTGGTTAGCCCGACGTTATTCCGCACCATACTGGACGTGGATATGAAGTTGCCTTTGTGGTTCGTCGGTGCGAACATAGTGGACAGACATGAGGACGACGAGTGCGCGGCTTACCAGGAAACTTATGTTCAGCGTCTGGTGCGAGATTTTACTAGCGCAGTGGGCACGACCGAAGCGATGGACGACGACCGTGTATCGGACGAGCGTTTGAAGGCTATGGCAGAGGCGATGAGGTACTTGCTGGCCGCAACAATGTGGATAATGCGAATGGCAGGGGACGATCCAAGATCTCATTACGACGCTTGGGTTTTCGTGCAACTCTCTGCGAAGACGACGCTGCTTGCGTCCATGAACCGTGAATTCGCCGCCCGCCGCCACATCATGCAAGCCGCGCAAGTGATGACGGACAAGTTGGGGAGACCACCTCCGACCTTGTCCCTGCCACCTATCTACATCCCTGATTGGGCGTCAAAGTGCGGAGTCAATTTCTCGCACGACGCGACGTTCGCCTCCCCAATGGAGGCGAAAAGGTTGGATTGGCTGGGGACAGGCCCCCCTGAGGACGAGGATGAGGACGACGACGTTACTGACAAACGCCAGGGGGGGTGATGCTCATGACATCGCGAGAGGGAAGGGGATGACGCCGTCACTTCTCTGACGACGGCATAAAACTCAAGCAGTCACTCCACGCCAAGCGGAAAGTGTAAATACTTCGCGTGCTGGACCGTGGAGTGACGATTCTTGAACGGTATATCCATCTTCCGGCGACGTGGCAAACGTTCTCTGTTTCACCATGAGATGTTGAGATCGTAGGTAGAGGAGGAAGGGGGATTCCGGGAAGGGGGGGGGTTGGGGTTTGGGGCTTTTATGCAGGGCACGGGGTGGGTACGGAAAGGGCTTATGGGAGAGACGGGGGTTTGTGGCAGCATTGGTGGTTGTGTTCGGGGCAGGAGTAGATGAGTAGGCAGGTATCATGGGCGGCGACAACTTCATAGTTGTGGGACCGATCGTCGTTCAACCATTGTTGTGTATTAGTGTGTAGTTCTCCGCAATTTTTATTTATTTATTTTTTCATTTATTGGGTTTTGCCATGTTAATGTTCTGTCTATCGACCGGATAAACAGATGTTCAATGCTGGTAAACCGAACGTCCTTCTGATTACTGATCTTGCTGATCTTCACAGCCATGCGTTGTGTTTGTTTTCAATCGATCCTTTAGTTTTTATAAAGCGTATGTGAGGCGGGGTTGGTTTGTTCTCATATTGAATGCTGATTGTTGATGGTGAGAAAGTGATGCATCCAAATATGTTTTCATCTTTCTAGTTATCGAACATCCAATCCATGCATTTGTCTTCATTTCCATCATTCCAGGAACAGATTGTAATGTGAGCGTGGATTGGAAATGCAAAAAAATGGGAATGGCAAAGGTCAATGCAGACAAAGTGATAGACATTCTTCCGAACCATGGACAAAACAACTGTGGTGCACTGTTGCAAACGCATGCAATCCGAGTTCCCTCGAACACAACAACAAAAGAAAAAATAAAGGAACGCAATTATGCGCACACCAATATAAGCAAAGGTCACACTGTCGTCAAAAGGGGAAAATTCTTTCAAGGCAAACACATTTCTATGTCGCAACCAAATGGATGATCTCCCCCCCCCCCCTTCCTCCCCCCCGGCGCGACATAACTGTAGCCATCGTGCACCGTCATCACAATTAGTATCTCGCTCAATACCACGTGCAACCGCGCCCCGCGGACCCCGCCAATGACGACATCCATAACCAACGATTAAAGTACCGTACCCAACGTTGGGTGTTACCGCGCCCAGTGTTGGGTATAGCACAAGTAAAACAAAAAAATAAAACGAGCCTGGAAAAACAGAACTAGTCACCACACACACGAAGACACCTACGCACACTGCCCGCGGGAGACACGTCATGCACTTCTCGCCAGAACGACGCTACCACGGGTCGACCACTGCGCCACAAAACGAAAGATCACCCCCTGACGGACGACGATGTGGATTACACCGAGATGATGCACACTGCGCCTGACGACAATAATACAACACATCCCGACGGCAACAGACTTGAGGGCATCATCATCGTGAAGACACGGAATCGCCAGTGGATGTGGGAAGCAGMCCYCCCCTTCCTTCCCGCCACAGGATCCCTTCGGTGCTTCCCCGCTTCACAGAGCTTCGTTCTTCCGTCTCATTACGGTCACAGCGGGGTCTCCACCTGCACGCACGGCCATCCTCACTGCGCACTCATCCTCTCCGTCAGCGCGTCCCTCAATATCAGCGCATCCCCCGTTGATGACTCCATGCACACCGACCTCAGTGGCTGATGCATCCCAAGATCGACTCCACGACGCACGCCGTGCGGACCCACCTCCCACAACAGATTGTCGTCAAACGGGATGCCTGCTTCGATGAGTATGTTGTGGAGGATGCAGACGGCGACAAATTGCTGCGGCAAGGTCTCCATGTTGCACTTGTGGGTGCGGAGGAACAACCTCCACATCCCCTTCAGTCTGCCAAACACCCTCTCCACTGCTCCCCTAGCCGTCTTCTGTTTGTTGTCGAAGCGTGCCTCCGACTGGTGCTGCGCGAGACCGCCGTAAGGGACGACTATCCATTCGGACTGGGGATAACCGTTGTCGCCGAGCAAGTAGCCATTAGTCCGCACCCCGAAAGGCAGCATCACAGGCGGCCCAGTGAAAAGTTGTCCTTCCTCTGCACGCGCCCACAAACTGGACAGGTTCAACATCCTCATGTAATGCACACTGCCCGGGTAACCAACGAAGACGTCCAGCACATGCAAGTTCATGTCGACGACCACCTGCGCTTGCACGGAGAACCGACGTTTCCTGTTGCAGTCGTCCTCCCCGTTGGCGTTGGCGGGCTTGTCGATGTAGATGTGGGTGCAGTCGATGCACCCATGTCAGTTTGGAAAACCCTTGTTTGCGAACGCGCGCAAGACGACCGCCTTCTGCAAACTTGTGGGCCAGGATATCTTATCGGGGTACGCAGTCAGCAATGCCGCAGTGACGTCCCGCACCGCCGTGATGCCGGAAGACCTGCCAATGTCAAAGCTACACGTCCTGCTGTCGTATGTCTCCCCCGTCGCCCACCTATATAGAGCATAGGCGATGATGTGGTCCGGCTGCAAGGGCACCCTGTAGAATGTCACACAGCGTTGCATGAGTGGGGAAAGAGTCTCCACGATCTTGCGGAAAACACGTTGCAACATTCGAATCTTGTCCTTGAAGTAGTCAGCTGTCTCGTCATCACATTGTCGCAGATCCTCCCACGTACCTCTTGTCCGCCACTTCATCCACCACCTTGGAGTGGCCCGTGGAAACGTGCCGCACCTCATCGCGTAGCAGACCTGCAGCACCTCGTCGGAAATGGCACCGACGTCCAAGCACTGGCCACTCGTCGGCACCGCCGACAGCTTGAGGCGTGCACGAACGGTCGCTTTGAACTTCGCATCGCTGCTCGCCATTTGGCAACGGAAAAGGACGACATTCACCGCCACCGCCGCAGCGATAGCCGTCCTCTCTGACCTCGTCAGACCGTCACGCCCGACCTCGCCGTCAATATCCATCCCCGACGCCGCTTCCAAGGACATCACGTCAATAACAACACACGATTGCACAAACGCCGCCACGTGGAAGAACACAGCACCGCCTCTGCAGACAACCTTGGACGCCACGCACTGACGACGGTCGTGTGCCTACAACGATGGTGAGAAGTCGATGCCGTCTCCATTTCTGCGCAAGCGTAGACCTGCGTACTCTTCGACGACAACTGCCGGCCACCATCGTCACTTATGCGAACGCCCCGAACACCGGACTCTGATGCAATCGGGTGTGAAACGTATGGCCATCACGCGCCGCCAATCGCAGAGCAAGATTTCGAATTTCAAATTTTGAACTGTGGCCGTGCGTGCCATTTCCAATGGCCCCTTTTTGTATTCTTTACTTTTTCTTTTGTTTCCCGCCTTGATTCGAATTTGCGATGGCCAACAGAGGTGGACCAACGCCGTCCGCACGGACACAACTCGATGGACCACCATCGGCCCCACCCCCGCGTCCGCTTGTGGATACATAAATCTGGCCGCGGGAGCCCCGAGGAATGGTCCTCGAGGGACGACTCCGAGGATGAGTGGAACGAAGGCAAGAATTTCCTCGGGCGACTCCAAGGAATCGTCCTCGGGGCCCGAGGACGCCCCGAGGAGTGTCGAACGAGCCCCTGTATCCAACCAAGGGCCTGGGCGCGGTACCTTTGACTTTTACCCTTGAATTTCCTGTGTGCAACGTTTGGTCACACAGCCAAACGTGACAGACTCAGGCCTGGGCGTGTCTTGGTCACACAGCCCAACGCAGACCAACTCAGGTCTGCGTTGCCTGGGGCTGAGTTCTGGGCCCCAGGCTACTTCTGAATGTGTGTGCGCGAGTGTCCTTACCTGATGTTCGTGGTGCCAACAAGATATGATATGAGAGGTACAAAGGATATTAGTAAAAAACAAAGGAATCATGAAGGTTTTCCTGTCTGAAACAAACAAGATGCTAGAGTGCTAGTCTGCGTACAACCTGAGTGAGGAGGTGAGTGACCCCCTGTGGAATAAGCCCTGTATCACTAGCAAAGCAAGAGAAGGAAACAAAAACGAGAAAAAAAAAAGAAAAAAAAARAAAAGAAAAAAAAAAGCTAGAACACCACCAATCATGTTCCACAGATATTGGCCAATTACATTCTGCAAAGCACTGTTGTAACTTCCACCTCCTTGAGGGCCTTCCCAAACGCATCTGCGGATCAAAAGAAATGAAGAACCAAAAAATAAAATAAAAAATCCCTTATGATGTGAACGTGGTCAGATACAAGAGACTAGTCTAAGGGCATTGCCACACCACTCTCGAAATGTGCAAAATGAGAATGAACTTGCTCCTAGAACGAGGCCAGATGCGCGGGCCACATTTTTGTCTTTTTCACATTTCGAGAGTGGTGTGGCGAGGCCCTAAGAGTGTTGATGTGAGTACAACGTGAGTCAGGTAGTTGGTGATCCGGCGCGGAATTCGCCCTGCCTCACGTGTAGGCCAGGAGAAGAAAATGAGACTAGAAAAAAAAAAGAAAAACAGCACTCACGTTCCACACATACAAGCCACGGCGGTCAGATACATTCCTCTAAGCATTGTTGTGACTTCCACCTTGGTGAGGATTTTACGATGTTGCTGGTTTCTCGGTTCTTAGCGTTTTGCTCTTTTTTTTTTTTGCCTACCACTGTGGGCCCACAGGGTCCAAATCTTTTCAGTTGTTGTTTTTCGTACCGACCCGACGTTGGACCCCCAAACTTTAAGGATGAGGTCATCTTGGAAAGGTAGTGGTGATTTAAAAAAAAAAAAAGATAAAATCTTGATGGGGCAATTGCAAAAATAGCGCGTTCTTGAAGTTTGGCAGCAGAAATGTTATACGGGTCCGAAACATCTATTTTTGCAAGGAAAGTGGGGCCCCGCCAGCAAATATTTTTGCTGTGAAACTACCGGGACCTCTAAAGCTGCAACGAAAGATACATTTTTGCAACGAAACTTGGGCCCCGCCAATATTTTTGCTGCGAAACATCTATTTCTGCAATTAACCCAATCTTGATTGATTGATTGATTCACTAATTTATTTTGTATGACTGATTGACTGATTGATTGATTCATTCATTCATCCATTTATTGAATGATTGATGATTGATTGATTGATTGATTGATTGATTGAATGATTGGTGGGGGAGGGGTCTCCCAACCCCCGTGCATGCCACACACACACACACACACACACAGACACACACACACACACACACACACACACACACAC